TCCTGTCACTGTTGCAAAATTCAGAGGCACATAAGAATGCTTTAATAAAAGTGCTGAGTGAAGCTTATGTACCTAATAACACCACCGGCAGAGAGATGGCCAATATGGTAGGGCAGGTACTGGAAAGTCACAAGATCATCTTCCATGAAGATGAGCTACCACCCGAGAGGTTGAATCACAATCAAGCATTGCATATCACAGTGCAATTTGAAGATAAATTCATTGCCAGGGTCTTGATTGATGGAGGTTCAAGCCTCAATATTTATCCGTTGGACACTCTAAAAAGGTTGGACAAAGGTTTTCATGAAATACGAGTAGGAAGCATGAACGTGAAAGCTTTTGATGAGTCCCAAAGGGCCACAATCAGGGAAATCAACCTTTGCTTGCAGCTGAGGCCAACTTGGTTCGACTTCGAGTTTTAGGTGCTCGACATACCAGCCTTATATAATCTTCTGTTAGGATGACCATGGATCCATGCCGTTGGGGCCGTGCCTTCCACATTATATCAAGCCGTGAAGTTCGAATGGAATCGTCAGGAGGTGATCATTCATGGGGATGGGAGTAATCCTATTTACACCAGTCAAACCATCCTGGCTATTGGACATAGAAGAAGGGTAGGAGGGGAAACCTATCATCACATTGAATGTGTCAATACCGTCGAGAAAGATAAATGGTGGAGTAGTAAAATAAAAAGCATATTGGCATGCTCTGGTATGAGCCCAGCAAAGGGATGGGGAAGAATCTCCAAGGTATCACTAAACCAATACGGCTGAAGGGTCATGGTACTACTTTTGGGATCGGATATCAGTACATATGGAAAGAATACAATGATTGGTAAACTCAATAGCGCGGACCGTATTACCCTCTCGAGCAACCAGTGCCACGTTTAGATCAAGTTTTTCACCAAGCTCATACAATATAGGGGACTGTAGAAGAGGAAGCATTAGCTGGGTTGAAGAATCTATTCTTGGAGGATGAAGACATGGACTGCAGTGCCATAATTGAGGAGGAGGAGTAAGAAGGCCTCACTATTCAGAACGTAAAAAAGGGAGTTGTTCTCAGGATCTAGACCGTCGCACCATCCCGAGCCTGCCGAGTCCCTGGATAGCTTGACAGATTTTACTTCTATAGACATTATAGGCATTTAAGATTTCCAGTAATTTTGTTTTAATATTTACTTGTTTCAAAATAAATGCTCAAGTCATCGAGCCATACTTGTCTGGGATGTTATTCTGTTTTAATCAAATGCATTTGCTCTCTATTATTTAAACTACTTTTACACTTTTTCTTTCTACAATGTTATTATTACTTTTTCTGATGAACTGGTGACTATGATATGTAACGAGGCAACACGACATGAGAATAGTGATTCAGAAGATGAAATACCTGAGGAAGTTGTTAAGGAAGTTGAAAACTTCAAGAATAATCCTAAGTCCAATCTGGACAAAATCGAAGCAGTAAATTTGGGGGATGACGAGACCGTCAAGGAGACTCGCATCAGCATTCACTTGTCACCAACCGAGAAGGAAGAATACATCCGTTTCCTAAAAGAGTATGAGGACATTTTCGCATGATCGTATGATGACATGACTAGTTTGAGCACGTCCATAGTGGCTCACAAGTTGCCTACTAAACCCATGTGTCCTCCAGTAAAGCAGAAACTCCGAAAATTCAAACCAGATATTAGCTTGAAAATCAAGGAGGAAGTTACCAAGCAGATCAAAGACAAAGTTCTCAGGATGGTAGAGTACCCAACTTGGTTAGCTAACATCGTGCCGGTTTCGAATAAGGATAAGAAAGTCAAAGTATGTGTTCACTATCGGGACTTAAATAGAGCAAGTCTCAAGGATGACTTCCCACTGCCAAATATACGCATCCTGATCGATAATTGCGCCAAGCATGAACTCCAATCCTTTGTAGATTGCTTCGCGGGTTATCACCAGATCTGGATGGACGAAGAAGATGCAGAAAAAACAGCTTTCATTATACCTTGGGGGTATATTGCTACAAGATGATGCCATTTGGTCTGAAGAATGTTGGGGCTGTCGCGCCCCCCTTTTTTCCTCGCGAAAATTGGGTTTATGACATTTTTGGTATGGGACAACTCTTTTCCTTTTGGTAAGGGGTCTGCAATTTTGAAGAGTCGCCACCTAACGATTTTTAAGGTGCGTTAGGGAACCTATAAGGTTCATCTACAAATATGTTTGCTAACCAGAGATAGGGTAAGGGCTTGAAATTATCCTAAGGGGAAGGTGTTAGGCACCCCTCAGGATCCACTAGTGTAGTTCCCGGCCAGACAGGTTTTTGTGAATTTGTGCAATTAGCAAATAGACAAGTAAGGCTCAAATAATAGGGTATTTAAGTTACGACACACAAGAGTTTGGAAACAGTTATTGAAAGGCGAAATTTTAAAAAGAGTTACAATCTAAAGCATGCTTATGAATGTAAAAGGTGTTCTAGGTTTGTTTGTAATATGGATCACATCAATGCAATACCCGGTATGACACTCCTCAAAAGAGGGGCTACATGTGGTATTAGCGCACCGATCATCATATCCATATCTACCATTTCCCACCCCGTAAAGGTAATTAAGCAAAGACTGGTCTCGACTCTTTTTGCATACTGTTATTCGTCCCTTACTATCAGTCCTGGAGGAATTTAGGACTACTATTCCTATAAGGAGGGGGGTTCTAGGCAGACCCTCAAGTTTAAAGGCAAAATACTAAGGCAACATACAAAAACATATAAGACTGCAATTAGGAGGGAACATATAAGCAAGTAGAAGGCTTAGTTATACCTCCACAAAGAATGCACATAGATAGCATGACTTATATACCATTAAGGTCTGAATTTAAAAATCCTAAAGCAGGGTGTTTAAGTTGTTGAAGCAGAACCAAATTTATTACATGACTCTGATAAGAAGTCTGAATCAGGCATGCCTGCTAGTTGTGATAGTTAATAATTAAACAAAGGCAGCTCCAGTTTTATTCAGGTTATTACCTAAGGCTTTCCTAGGATTAAAACAATTGTTTTGAATCATTAAGACGGTTTGGAAATTATTTTTATTGCCTAAAACATTTTGTTCTAGGTGTTCAGCACATAGAATTATTGCCAGCTGATTGTAAAAACTGAGTAAAATTGTTTTATTCCTTTTTATGCATTCATATTTAGCCTAAGCGTGCTTAAGCGAATACAAATGAAATCCTAAAGACATGGTATCTAATGTACATAGATGCAGAATGATGCAGAATCCTAAGTAGGATTTCTATATGAACAAATATTACAGCATTTAAACATGATTTCCAGAATATGTAGAAATGTTATGTTTGTTAGTGTTATTTAGCCTAAAACAGGATCTCTAAACGTACATGGTAGTAGGAACATGATCGCAGAAACTTCAATTATTAACATAATTAACGCAAGATTTTATAAGTGATATAATAGTGAAATGGACATGCTGAAAACAGTAAGCGTAGGTCCTAGGGAACATGATCTATAATGTATGAAATGAGTCCTAAGCATGATTTCTATTGCGCAAGTCGGAAGATAAACCTAGTAACATATTTTCTACCCCTTTTGATAGCTAAAGCATGCATAGTCACCCCTCCCTTTCCACTATCCATTCCCAGAGTTGTGTACAAATTATTACATACCAAGTGATTGACTTACATAATAAAAATGTAAAATAAGAAGTTACAACCATAGGAAGCCTGATTCTGACTTCCTCTCTGAGTTATGTAATAAACCACCTCAAATGCCAATATTGTTCCAAAGCATTCTCATATCTGGGTGTGTCAGAGTTCCCTAAGGACCTCAAGGGATCCTGGGCAGTGCTGACACCCAGATTGCATAACCAAGAGAGTAAGTGCAGTGTGAAAAGGCTAGCTTTCATGTGTCCAAGTTCAGAGAGAGCTCAAGGGGCCCAAAGCATGGCTCACACAAAAGGGGCAGAACCTAGTATTCTAAGAGTATATGTGAGAGTGCTTGACATAGTTTGAAAAAGTGTTTGTGTAAAAACTGGACTGTCAACTCCATTTTATGAAAGCAATCAGTAACAGAGATGATTGAAAGTAGTGGTAGTAGTAAACAAAACTCAAACACCTCAAGAGGGGATCACACACAGAATCAGTAGCCACACAGGGGGTCAAGGGATTGGGGATACGTAGACATTTGTCAGTAAGCACATAACCCCAGCAGGGATTTGGTCTGGACATGCACAGCAATAGCTGATACAGGCATAATCACAAACCGGCCAAAAGAAAATAAACACATGGAAGGGATAGGGGTTTGGGATTCATAAGATAGTAAGTACACAATAAGTAATTGATAAAGTATGCCTTAAAACACAAACAGGGGAGTGCATTAATCTAAAGGGGAAGGGGAAACATTACAGCATGCTTAACAGAACCACAAGTAGAAGTAGACCAAAAATGAAAGAAGCTGAAACAAACAAGGAAGCATATTGTTGTTGGAGCTTTAAAATTAAAGTAGGACATACCAGTCAAAAAACAAAGTGCAGAAAAGTAAAGCGAATAGAATTCCACAGTCTAGCCTTGCCTTTCAGCCGACTAGACAAGCAGTAGCACAGGTAGCAAAGAAAGAAGAGAGAGTTTGAGTGTATAAGTGTGTGTTCGGAACTAAAAATGTTCGTGTGTTTAGAGAAGAGAGGGTAGGGTATTTATAGCTTTGAAAATGAGTAGAAAATAAGGTAACCACTACTACAAAAAAGGCCTTTGGCGGTAATTATTTAGCAGCAGTAAGGCAATGGTCGCTAATAAATTCTTTAAGCTTAAATATTAGCGGCATATGACCATTAGCCAGTAAAAGATATAATTTTACTAGCAATAAAAAATTATAGCCACTAAAAATTACTAATTAAAATTAATCTTTTATTATTTTAACTATCCGCACGAAAAAACGAAAATCTTTCCCTCCAATTTTTTTGATACCTTTTTTGTTTCCCTCCCCAATTAGAAAACAATAAAACTAAAAACCTTATGTTTCCCTCCCCAATTAGAAAACAATAGAACTAAAAACCTCACTCCCCAAATGAATGAAAAACAATAAAACATCCTAAATCGCTGCTGAAAAAACCTAACAGGTTGCTGCGTCAACGGCAGTGCGATTTACAGTGCATCAACGGCAGCGCGAGTGCGTCAACGGCATCCTACCTTTTTCCAGGTTAATTCTCTTCTCTTCGATTTACAATTGATTTACAGTAGAATCGATTTCCCTCTTGAATCGACTTTGCTGCCGAAAAAACCTAACTCGCTATTGCGTCAATGGAGGTGCAATTTATAGTGTATCAACGGCAGTGCGAGTGCGTCAACGGCAGCCCATCTTTTTCCTAGGTAAACTTTGTTCTCTTTGATTTACAGTAGAATTGATTTACAGTAGAATCGACTTATAGTAAATTAATTTCTCTTCTTCCAATAGATTTATAGTAGATTTTGTATCAATGTTGGTCTATTGATTTACAGTAATTCAGTTCCTAACTCGCTGTTCAACAGCCTGTCGTAGTGCCCGTCCATCTTCTTCCCCTGTTAACTTTTCTTTTCCCCCTGTTAAATCAGTCGCGTGCAATCGGTTTATAGTAGATTTTGGATTGATTCTTGTCGATTGATTTACAATAAATTATGTGTACATTAATCTGGCAAAAGTCATGTTATTATTTGGATGTAGAAAATCCTGATTTAGGAAGTTTGTTTTGGCCACTTATCTCTTATATCTAAATTTCTCCTATGTATAAACAAATTTTTGGGAAAGAAACTCATATAGTTGCCGAGGTTAATGCTCTTGTACATGGGATTCGTATTCTGTATGAAACGATGTATGTAGCATGGACAAAGATTTTTAGATCCTTTAATAAGCATGGACTAATTGAGCTTTCATGTTAGACGATTGTGTGCTTTTAGATTGTCACTTGAAATCTTTATTTCATATGACTTGCAGATGGTCAATTCTGGTGACAATATAAATGCAGTGATCATGTAAATGCATCTTTATTGTATTTACTCTGAACATGTTCTTTTTTCTGCAAGTCCAAAGTCTGCAAGAAAAGCTTCAAACTGTGGACCAACCAAAATATTATTGGCCTTGATATCGCGATGGACTATAGGAGGAATACAATCATGGTGAAGATAAGCTAAATCTTGAGCTTCTCTTAATATGATATTATACCTAGCATCCTAATCTAGAAATACTTTTTTCTCATGTAGCAGTCCTGCTAAACTCCCATGACTAATGTAATCAAACAAGAACAATCTTGTTTTGCCGTTATTACAACATCCCAAAAGCCTCACTATGTTTTTGTGCCTGATTGATCCCAAAAGCCTCACTGTTTTTTCAGTGCTATGACTAGGTTTTCTTCTTCCATTTTTTTCTTTTAGCGTCCTATATCTGAGACAAACTAATTCGGATACTGGATGCTGATAGTGAAAATAAAGAAGAACTAGTTGTACATAAGGCCAGGAGGTTCTTTGTTTGGGTGTTGAATTAGGTGTACCATTTGTTTGTTGAGTCGTAAGTGGTTGATATCTCACTAGGACATGAAGAAGAATCCCAACTCAAACTTGGCTTCCATTTATCAGCCAAACTAGTTGTCAAACTGAAAGGAAATCCAATTGATTTGATGTTTTCCCATTGAGTAATATTATCATTTGTTGAATCTTGATTACTCCTTAACCCTGCTTCATTATCTTCCATTCATATACTTCTTTGCATCTCTTGTCATGAACCAATTGAGAAGCTATTCATCTGTTTATTCGAACCTTCAAAATCAATAGTCTCAGAAGTTAACGCGGGGGATATGTTGAAAAATAGTCTCAGAAGTTATGGCGGGGGATGTGTTGAAAAACATGGAAACCTCAGGCGACAAAAACATGAAGTTACAAGGAACTTCAGTACTAGGACTTGAAAGAAAAGATGGTCTTGAAACAATAGTATTAAGGGTCTTCTTTCCTTGTTAAAGACCACGCAGTTGTCAAACTTACAATATAATAATAGTAACTTGACTCCTACCTCTTGTTATTACTTACTTTATTTCAATCATGCAGCTGTGAGCATCATGGAAATAGAATAATTAACAGACCTGAAACCTAGTTTTGATTTGTATTTTTAAGAGAGTGAATTGTAATTTGGTATTTCACCAACATCACTTGTATATGTTAGAAGCATATATTCTAGCTAGTGTTAAGCTCATGATTGCTTACAATAAGCTAGAGCTCTTTTTTATCTTTAGTTCTATGGATAGCTTAAGACTGGAACTTACAGGATAGATAATTGTATATTATGAATAATCTAAACTAAAGAAGTCATTCCAAAATTTCTTTATCATTAAGTAATTATAAATCATTAGACGGAGAAAAATTAGATACATAATTCAAGTTATTGCATGCATGCATTCCATTTGTTGGATAGATACTTACCAATGATGAAGAGGGAGGCCTTCCAAACTAATCTACAGAAGAATCATAAACCCATTTTCCCCATCTATTTCTACTGATTAATATTTGAGGCTAAGTCATTCTTACTGGTTAAGTGGAGAAGTGATGCAGCGTAAGTTAAAGAAGAGATATTCGGCGAGCCAAAATGAACAGTAGTACTTTGATTAAACACCTCTGGAGATTCTACTTCAGATAATGGATTTATCCAAGAGTAAGAAAGAGATCTATTTGCCATTGAGTTGGTTTTCTTGAATATTCTGCAGATAGCCCACGCATAGAAGGAACTTAGTTGGCCACCCTTTATATTAAATAAGTGGAATGATGATAGCTTATATATACTATACTATAAGATGAGTAACATGAGTGGGGAATGCTTTTTGTATGCCAATAACTTTTAGGTCCTAAAATCTGCCAAGATTCAAAGCAAAGTTAAACTCACTTGCAAAAAGACTTCTGCTTTTCAGGTGAGGGTACTATATTCTTTCTTTTTAATAGGGAAAATGACAATGATCTTGACGTGGGTCTTTATTGATTGTTCTTTCACTTTTCTCATGACTATCATATTCTGTAGCAAGAAAATGATCAGTATTCTGCTTTATAATAGTAGCTACAAAGACACTTTCTGATTTCCTTTGTGGTGTTGTTTTGTCTGATTTTTTTCTGTTCTTGAGTTTGTGTAAAAATGGTTGGTATGTTTAACCAGTGTAGTAAGTTTTCTCAAGTGTTGTATCTGGCAAGTTGTCATCTTTAGATGCTGCTGTTGTTATTTTAATATGAGGCTTTCCTCTTCCTTATTGTGGTTGGGGCAATCTACATATGTTGTCATCGACATATACTGTTGTCGTTTAGTTGCACTTTGGAAAGCATTTGTTTAATTCTTGTTTTCAGTTTTGCTTCTTGATTGAATGGAATGTTCAAGATATGTTTTCACATTATACTTTAACTTTTGACACAATTATTTTATAATTTCAGGTTATATTGTCTGATGTTGAATAATTTAGCTGGTGAAAGAGTTCAAAATGACGAAAAGTTGTGGAAACCATTTGAAGACCCATCATTCGTCTGGATTAGTTATATAATGACATTAGTTATTTAGCCTCAATAATATATTTTTTATGTTTAAATTACTGTGATATTAATATTTTTGATTAGTACTTCCTTTTGTTTGTTAAGATCAATGAGATACATTATGTTTTTTTTAATTAATATTAATATATTTTATTATTTGAGTCATATTCTGTACGAATGTAGTAACTATTATTAATTGTGGCAAAACTATTTATAATTGATGTAAAATAATTGTCGTTAAAGATATTGACTTTTAGTGGCAATTTAGTTAAACATATTAGCCATTAGAATGGAAGCTAAAAGGGCAAACTAAGATTGTTTCAGAAGGGATATTATGACCATTTTAATTGTCACAAAATAATTGCCATTAAAGATATGAACTTTTAGTGGCAATTATTTTTAATTTAGCGGCTATAAAAAATAGATGCTAAAGAAGTATAATTAGCCATTTTGATTGGATTTAGTAGCCATTATAATTGCCACAAACAATTACCTTAAAGATGCGATTTTAGCGGTAATTATTTTGAATGTAGCGTCTATAACAATGGACGCTAAAAAAGTATAATTAGCCATTTTGGATTGGATTTAGTAGCCATTATAATTGCCGCAAATAATTGCCGTTAAAGATAATAACTTTTAGCGGCAATAAAATATACCGTTTACCAGCTTTTACGAGAATAGCCGCTAAAGGCTTTGCCGACCCCAGTTTCAGCGGCAAAAGACTAATGGCCGGTAAAAGATATAGCGGCTATTATTATTGCCGCTAAAGCCATTTTGTATTGCCGCTAAAGGTCTTATTTGTAGTAGTGAACAAGTAAGGGTTTAACACAAATATGGAACAATCAGAATCCCATTAATACAAGTACTTCCCTTTAATCAAGGAATTATTGTTTAACGGGTATCAGCAGGGATAATTAAGGAAAGATATCAGTTTGAGAAAGATTGATTCTTACCATATAGGGGATAGTAAAAGGGTAGAGTAAATAATTGGGTCTAAGTACAAAATATACTTAATTTTGGGAAAGGATTCAGCAGAGGTAAAACATCACAGAAAAGGAAGGGAATCAATCAATTTATATAAAATGAGTAAAGCTAGGGGTTACAAGAAAACCTTGCAATCAAACCGCAACTCAAGGAAATCAAGATCAATCAAGAAGGGGTCATGATTTTGCACTTCAACATATAAATAGAAAAGAATGAGCAGGAGTATCAGACATGCAAGGCCAAACATATTGGCAAAAGAAGCAACTAGATAAACATATAGCAGTAACACGAGTAGGCTAAGGATTCAATAGTAAGAGAACCTACTCGAAGCATGGTAGTCAACAAAGTCAAGAAGTCACATAGAACCAAAAATGAAGGAAACGGTCTAACACATAGCAACAGGTAGGGGAGATCAGATCAACACACCGAAATAAGTAAAGGAAGTCTTCAAAAGCTCACAGTAACAAGTGAGGAAAATTTTAAGAAATTAGGGTTTTAACAAAAACAGTATGACCTCAGAATCGGTCAAGACAAATAAAGGAAAGGATCCAACCATGAAAAACTCGAAAACAGGCATACATACAAAAGACAGTTTCAGACCCCGGATAAAACCAAAGATACTTAGGGTTTTAAGATGATCAGGTAGAAGAAAAGCATAAACAAATCATTTAAACATAGTAAAATCATAAAACAACACTGAAAATCGAAGAAGAGACCCTTTTAAAAGAGGTTAAGAAAACCCGAATTGTTGAAGACGAAGAGTCATTTTGAAAAATCGCAAAACCTTTAAAGAAAAACACTTAAGAGGTTCATAACATACGCAGATCTAAAACAGATCTGAAAGAAAAATCGAAAAGCCTTTGAAGTTAGGGTTTCAGAGAACCCAAAAAAATGAGAAAGACTTCGAAAAGTTATCGATCTAGTCGGAAAAGATAAGGATCTGACTCGAATAGCCATGGATGGCCAGAAAAATACCATGGATAGAAGTTGAGCAAGGTCTGGACTAGATCTCTTCGAGATCTTTCCATGAAATTACAAAAACAGGCAACCAATAGACATAGGAGGTCGGTACACATCTCAAACAGCCATGGAGTCCATGGATTAGGTGAGAATCGAAGGGGATTAGGGTTAATTTGGGTGGCAGCGGCTAGGGTTTAGGTGGGGTTGCAGAGAGAATTGGAGAGGAAGGGGATTCAAGGGTGGCGGGTTGGTGGAAATGAAGTAGGTTAAGGGGGTCGTTTAGGTTTATTTTAGGCAGGTGAAATGGTGATCGTTGATCTGAATGATCAACGGCCTAGATTAAATGGGGTAGGTGAGGATCCGAGCTTAGGTTAGGTTTACAGGGTTAGGGTCGGGTTTAAATTGAAATTGGGCTAGGGAATATTGGGGATTTGATTTGGGCTAGATTTTAAAGCCAATTTTGTCTATAAATAGCCATTTTCCCTTTAAATTTTATAAAAATAATAAATAATTTTTGAAAATTAATTTAAAAGGCTAAAATGATTTATAGTACATAATTAACAATTTAAAAATACAGGATCTAATTTTATGAATATAAACCCTAATTAAACCTTAAAAAGGGCTAATATTGCAATTATATGCAATTTAGCTTTAAAAATACTAAATAAAATTGTAAAAATTATCTTAGCCATATTTTGGCATAAATATAGAAATTCAATAGAATAATTATCAAAATAATAATTTTGAAAATAATTATTGGGGATTTATAGGTAAAAGGGGAGAAAATAAATCAATTTAAACCTTTAAAATTATGAAAAAATAATAAAACACTTGGATATGCTTATATATGCATATATATGCTATTTTGAAGTTATTTTGCATATTGAAAAAATATATAGGGAAAAATTGGGTCTCAACAGCTGCCCCTCTTTACCCGAGAAGGATGAAAGAGTTGTCGGGTAAAGATATGATGGCCAATTTTGACCGAGCGAAACGGGTTGAAGAGGTTTAGGTCGTGCCCTGGCTTTTGAGCTGCCCACATATCCCTAGTTTTACAGGAATCAGGTTGTATGTAGTTTACGATTCATGTGCGGAGTATGCCGATGAAGATATTTCAAGGACGGACGCAATATCTAGGTCCAGGTGAATGAACGGTTCACAGGAATGGTTAGGTCTGACATGGATTGGGGGAACCGGAGTGGGACCGCTCCTGCCGAGATGGTCGTTTCTTGTTGGTTTACTTGCAATTAGAAACAATACAAGTGTATATTGTGCATAAATTTAAACATGATGCAAATTTCCGTCGGACCATGAATGTTGTCTTTGGACGGTTAGGATGACGTCTTTAGACCATGATGTCCTGGGCCATGAAGCGTATGATAAGGGATTCGCAAGCCATGAAATTATATTTTCGGGCTATGAGAATGGTGCCTCCGAACCATGACGCCTTTGAATAGTGATAAGCAAAAGATTAAAAGAGATCCTCAGGTCATGACATGGTGTTCTCGGGCTATGAATATGGTGCCTCCAAACGATGACGCCTTTGGATGAGTTGGCGATATTTCAGCCCATGAAGGATGCAGTAGCAAGATACGGACAAGACAAAGCTTAGTCTTGTGAATTAAAGAACAGANTATATGCATATATAAGCATGTCCAAGTATTTTATTATTTTCCCATAATTTTTAAGGTTTTTAAATTTATTTATTTCCCTTTTTCATCCATAAAATCCCCAATAATTATTTTCAAAATTATTATTTTGGCACTTCATCTATTGGATTTCCATATTTATACCAAAATATGGCTAAGGTATTTTTTACATATTTTTTACAATTTTATTTAGTATTTTTTAAGCTAAATTGCATATAATTGCAATATTAGCCATTTTAAGGTATAATTGTGTGTTATATTCATAAAATTGAGTCTTGTATTTTTATATTGTTAATTATGTACTGAAAATCAATTTAGCCCTTTCAATTTGGTTTTCAGAAACTATTTACTATTTTTATAAATTTAAAAAGGAAAACTGGCTATTTAAATAACATCCCCTTTTGCATTTCAATTGTAACCTAAATTGAACCCCAATTTCCCAGCCCAATTTCTAATTTAAACCCTACCCTTACCCAATTAAATCCTGATTCTCACTCAACCCATGGGCTCCCATGGCTATTTGAGACATATACCGGTCTCTTATGTCTCATGTGTGCCTGGTTTCGTGATTTCATGGAAAGATCTTGAGAGGATCTAACCCAGATCCTGCTCGACTTCTATCTTTGGTCTTTTCCGGCCATCCATGGTCGATCGAGTCAGATCCATGGCTTTTCCTGCTATATCAGTAACTTTTCGAAGTTTTTCTCACTTTTCTGGGTTCTCTGAAACCCTAACCTATTAAAATCTCTCGATTTTCTTTCAGATCTACCTTAGATCTGTGTATGTTGTGAACCTCTTAAGTGTTTTTCTCAAAAGATTTCAGATTTATTTTCCCAATCGACTTTCTGTCTTCAAAAATTAGGGTTTCTTAAACTCTTTCTTTTAAAAAATCTCTTCTTTGATTTTTAGTGTTGTTTTATGATTTTACTGTGTTCAAACGATTTGTTTATACTCTTCTTCTACATGATTCAGCATGTTGAAAACCCTAAGCATCTTTGATTTTATCTGAGGTTTTGGAATTGCCTTTATTTGTTTTGTATAAATACTGGGTTCGATTAAGTTCTTTGTGTTTGAATCCTTTTCCTTGTTTGACTTATTTGATTTTGAGTTCTTACCATCTTTTAAACTCGGCTATTGTTAAAACCCTAATTTCTTAAAAGGTTTTCTCATTTATTACTGTGAGTTCTTTACTTGTTTCTGACTCTCTTTACCTGTTAAGACTGGTTTCTTCACTTTGGTTCTAAGTGTGAGCCATGACTGCTTGACCTTGTTGATTACCATGCTTTGAATAGTCCCTAGCCTATTCATGTTACTCCTGTATGTTTATGTCCATCTAGTTTGCTCCTTTTTGTCAATATGTTTGACCCTACATGTCTAATACGCATGTTCACTCCCTTCTATTTATATGTTGAAGTGCAGAATCATGACCACTTCTTGATTGATCTTGATTTCCTTAAGTGACAGTTTAATTGCAAGGTTTTTTTATAAACCCTAATTTTATTCATTTGTTT